TCAGCTACGAAATGCGACGTGATGCTGCTGCCTTTTCCAGGGTCTGGAGGGTTCTTTGTCAAAGCTTGTTCAGGCCGTGTCATGTTCTGTAGAGATGGTTGCTAAGTAAACATAAATGATGGCCATGAGTCTAGGTTAAATGTAGATTGCCTTGGTAGGAAATCATTTCTTCTTCTTTCTCTTTCTTTCTTTCTTTCTTTCTTTTTCTCTTTCTCTTTCTTTCTTTCTTTCTTTCTTTCTTTCTTTCTTTCTTTCTTTCTTTCTTTTTTTCCACAGAGTTGTAATTTATTATACCATTTCTATAAGCACCGCCTTGTGATTTTTTTAATTGAGATCTAATTGACATATAACATCATACGAAGAAATAATTTCTTTAGCATCATTCGGGTTTTGTCTTGGGAACGAACAGGTTAAAAAGAAAAACCTGGGCCTTACTTCCGTTCAGTCCTTTTTGGACAAGGCAAGTGTAAATAAATAAATAGAGCCAAGTGTCACATTCTTCAGCGTCTGCATAATCATCTCTCTTGTTTGCAGAAAGCTTTACAATGACTTATTACCAAGTGCTCCTACCCCGCCTGGGCTCCCAGGGAGAAGTGAGGTCATCCAATGCTGGGGGTATGGGCCTGTCTCCTGTGGCCTGGGCCTGTCCAGGGAGGGGGGGGTGGTGCCCACCGCCCTGCTACTGGCCCCAGGGTCTGGTATTTAAGGTAGAGCCAGTTGGGACTGTGGAGGGTCAAAGGTAGCTGCTGAAGCTGGCCCTCCGCCCCTTCCCTGTATCTGTCCCCTGACAGCCTCTGGAGGTGCCACTCGGGTGTGGTGTGGGGAGTGGGGACACTCTCACAGATGTGGCCCTGGGGGCAACTGCTTTGGGCCCTTGGGTAGAGAGGCCTCGTGGCCTTCCCTGCCCTCGTGGCCTGACCAGCAAGTGAGATCCCCAAGCCTCAGTGTGACTCAGAGAGAGGGAGGGGAGCTCTCCCCACCCTTCCCCTCCTCACCACTGACTGTCTCAGCCTGCCCCACAGCCTCGCAGCATCTGGAATCATCCTTGGTCCTCCTCTTCACCGTCCCACCCTTGCTGGCCTGCTCTGCTTCCAGAAGACACCTCCCTGTGCCAGCCAGCTGCCCTCTCCCTAGATTGTGGAGCAGTATCCTCAGCTTCTCAGGCTTCCACCCTCACCAGTCCCCTTCGGCCAGAGGGATCTTTCTAGAACATAAGTCACATCACATCATGCCCCTCCCTGCAGCCCTCCGGTAGCTTCCGGTTGTACTTGGAACAAAACCCAGATCTCTCACTCTGGTCCTGCGTGGTGGTTGTGAAACGGGCCCCAGCTGGCCTCTCAGACGCAGCCACCCAGCTTCCTTCATCCCATCACCCCCCCCCCCCCCCCCCCCACCCCCGGCCACACCGGCCCCTGCTGCTCCTTGAAGTCAGCACTTTGCAGAGTTTGGGCCTCGGGTCCCCTTTATACCCTTAAAACAGAATATCGAGGATCCCGAAGAGCTATAGTTTATATAGACTTTGGGTGGTTCGGTCTGTGGCACTTGGACTAAGCAAGGGACACAAGGGAACCGAGACCCTGGAAGATCGGAAGCATTCTCCCGCTTAATTTATGTCACCAAAGTGAATGAGATGTTCCCCCCGGGCAGGGCACATGCACCCACGCGATAGACTTGGAGCCATTGCGCATCAGCCGGGGTTCGTCGCCCTCACCTTGAAAGTTTTCAGAAGCCAAGGGGTGGGGCCAGAGGGGGGCTTCCGAAGCATGGCTTGGGTTGGCTTCTGATGCCGTGGCGCCACGGCCGCCTTCGGGCTCACGAGTGCAATGCTGTCTCCCCACCCCCCACCTTTTGGAAATGGTCTTGCTCTGTGTCCCTTGCCGTGGGCCACATGGTTGCAAAACCTGGCTGGGATGCCCACTGCTGCCCAGAGGGGATCCTTCACAATGGAGAAAACGGTTCTGGGTGACTGCCAGAGGGGCTGACTCTGTCTTGCCACCCTTCCCATTTTATCTGCCGGCCAGGTGATGGTCACAGAGCTGTGTGTCTCCCCCCTACCAGCTGTAAATGATTATATTTAATGAAAATACACCCTCCGTTTCCTTGGAAGAGATAGTAAAGTAGAATATAAATCAGGGCTCTTAGGTGACTAGCCACTTTGGTATATTTCTCTTTTTTCCACTGGGCTCAGAGAGAAATCACAAATCCTATTTATTGGCCGGTTTTATGTTCCTGGCCCTCGCCCCTGCGGCAGGTTCACCTCAGCTCAGCTCAGCTCAGCTCTGCGAGGGCAGAGGCGTGGGTGCCCGCCTGGCCGGGGCAGGGGGCGGTCATCAGCAAACAGTGTGTGATGGGCAGACACGATGGGCAGGCGTGACCAGATCTAGAGTCTGCCTTCGAGGGGCGGCCCTCCACCGTTAGTGCCCTCGAGGCCTTGTCCCACCAGCCCTCAGAGACCGCCGATTGCTAGAATCTGCCAAGGGAGGCAGGGTGTCCAAAACTAGACCACAAGGGCGTCTTTCCACACACGGCACGGCTGGTTCCTTCTCAGCGCTCAGGACTCCGATCAGATACCTGCTCAGGGGCCTCCCCCGCCCCCAGGCACAGCTGGTTTTCTTTAATTGAGGTGAAAATCACATAACATAAAGGAAAGCGTGCGGTTCAGTGGCACTTAGTACGTTCATGGTCTTGTGCCACCACCACCTGTGCTAGTTCCAAAATACCTGGATCCCCCCGCAAATAAACGCCCGTTCCCCTGGGCCCTCCCTCCCCATTCGCCCTTCCCCAGCCCCTGGCCACCACCGCTCTGCTTCCTGGCTCTATGGACTGCCCTTTTCTGGATGTTCGTATACGTCGTACGGTGTGTAGCCCTTTGTGTCTGGTCTCTTTCCCTGAGCATCACATTTGCGTGGAGCTTCCTCCACGTGGTAGCGTGTGTCCGAGCTTCCCCCATGTGGACAGACTGCTTTTCATTCGTCCATTCTCGCGCCGTTGACGGCCACGTGGCTGGGTTCTACCTTCGGGCAAGTGTGTTCGGTGTTGCTGCGAGCGTGCACATGGAAGTTTTTAGTTGAACACCTGTCTGCCGTCCGTCGGGGTATCTCCGTCGGAGTAGAATGCCTTTCCCACGGCCTCCCGAGCCCTTGCCATCCGCTGGAGTTGACCCATTTGTCTTCCCGGCTGTGTCACTTGCCCCATGCTCGCTTGGAAGGCTCCGGGGCACTGTTCGTCTTGCCCTCCACCGCCACCGATGCTTAGTGAGCAGGTGCCCAGTGACTGTCGAATGCGGGCGGGGACGTGGATTGGTGGATGGAGGCTGGGCTGGATGA